ATGTGGAGAAAACATCTCATGTTTGTCATCTGCAGAGTCTGTAAATGGACAAGAATGTTGTCTATCCAGAATGTTACTGTGTTTGCTGTTCAAGCTCCTCATTTTTCTCAGATTTATCTAAATGAATACATGAAGGAATCATGACACAATGTTTGAATCTTACATGTTTATTTACATTTATTATATTATCAGTTGCAATGACAGAAAGAAATCAAAAACTTCCAGTTGAAGTCTGATTCAAACTCCTGACAAACAGCAACAAAAACAACAACAACAACAACAACAAACCCAAATCTGAGTAAATTACAGTGAGTTTTATTGGTAATAAAAATAGGACTGAGATAAGCAAAATCTTTCAACCAGCTCTAAATATAACTATAGAATTATTTTAAGATGATAAAAATAAAGATATTGAACAAAGAAAATGAAAGAATAAAAGCTCATATTTCATTTAAACACAAAAAAACTCCTGAGAAGCAACAACGAAACCAAAGCAAAGAAAATTATAGTGAGTTCAACAAAAGATAAAAAATAACATTACACAAACAACTTATCAAAACAAAATAAGAACACGGTGAAATGATTGTGCTGATACTTTATTCTTTCTATTGTCTTTACTGATAGAATAAAGACAAACTTTTTTCCCCCTGATAAACAATGTTAAAATCCAGCTTTTGTGTTTGAAATTCCTGCAGTTAAGAAAAATCTTCAGAGCTGATTAGTTGATCTGTGGAATCTAACAGAAGCAGAAACGTCTTCAGTATTTTCATACGTCACCACATAATCGTCTTCATTATTGTGCTGCTGTGAAAACACAGAATATCAGAACTGCATGTATCATCTCTCAGTCATTGATTTGATCTTTACAATCCTCACAGTGTATAAAAAACAGTTTTTACTGATAAAACAAATGAGTTTGTCATAAATTCATATTTTCAGGATTCAGTTGTAAAACTCACCTTCTTGCCACAGTGTGTTTTGCAACCTGAACAGACAAAAGAGGAATTCTGCTTTAGCCTTCTTGTGAATGTTGAGGTTTATCTAAACTTGTTGCTTATAAAGTTTAATCTGTGAATGTTGTCACCTTTTGTTCTGGTCCAGATGTTGACTGACACAACAATCAGTGAGAGCGCTGCTACACCCACAAGAACAAGGATGAACCTGATCCAACTACCTTCAAACAGAATGAAATAATGAAGCACAGTTTGAAGCTCATGAGGCTGAAAATGAGATGAACAAAAGAAACATGGAGTCAGTTCAGCCAGAGCTCTGAAGTTGTGTTTGTATCGGCTCACTGACATCTTGTGTTTCTGCACAGTTTCACAATCATTGTCTTCTTCACAGCTGTGTGGCTGCATGAACATTCTGAGCATCACTTATCACTGTCAGTCTGCTGATCACACTCATGTCAACTACATGTGATCATGTGTTTAAACACTGTTGTTCTCCTGCTTTCTGACAAACAGACACACAGAAATGTTTGACTTGGTGTCACTGCTGGTAGATGTTACTGTTCGTACTGGACCTGCATTTAGGCTGTTTTCTGCTGCTGCTTTGGATAATTTATCTATGGTTGGTCTTGTAGTTGTGTATTTCAGATTTGCTGCCGTTGTTGATGTTGATACATTTGACGTAGTTGGCTGAGATGACTGACTAAGCACTGAGAAACTAAATAATATTGAACTTTTTGTTCAGTCATTGTTTGTGAAAACAGAGGGCTGTACCACAAAGGAAGTTTGACATATCCAGGCTTTCTTTGTGTAAGTCAGCTCGACAAAAACTAAAGTCCCAGTCAGAGATCACAGGTATCATGAAGGTAGTTATCAACTTTCTTTGTCAACTCAGACTTTCTGCTTCAAATTCTGCACACGTTCACATTAAAAGGGGCATTTAACGCATCATGTGACTCTTCTGCACAAAATGAACCGATTGAGTGCAGCTGCTTCAGTCAACACATTGTTTTAATGGAGAACAATGAGGAATATAAACATTTATGGCAGTAAAAAGCACCGCTACTGTAAAAAGACAGGAATGCTGATAGAAAACTGTTGATATATAATATTTTACAGATGCAGCCGCTTATTTCCAGCTGACAGCTGCACGTTAAAATTAAACTTTAAACTTCATATATTTAAACCTGATCTTGTATTGAAGTACATTTAGGTCTGACACTGTCCCACAATGTAATTTTTGGCCAAATCAAAAGCGAAATTAATGTTATTGATTGAATATTCTCTGTAATAAATACCAGTAGAATCATCCATTTTCTGTGTTTTATCAGCTGCAGTAGCAGCAGAGTAAACGGACTTGACAGCAAATCAAAGCCAAACATAAAAACAAATTTATGTGATTTCTGCATCGCCAACTAAATACATGTCTGGTTCCCATGGCAACGTGATATTTACAGTGTACGATACTGTAATTACACGGCTTCATTCAGTGATATTAGTAACGTACAACTCAGTATGTTTGCAGATAAAACACATTCCCTCAGCTGAGAATCTGTATCGCTCATAAATAATAGTCGAAAACGACTTGGTTAAAGGGAGACGCTCTTTCCAGCCGATTTAAATCTGAGACTCTGAACATCACCTGCTCCCAACCAGGTTAGCTCTACAACATCAGTTACCATGGAGACCTAGCTCCACAGCATTAGTTACCATGGAGATCTAGCAGGTTAAAAGAGAGACACCTTCGTGATACTGAAAACTCTGACTTTAAGCTCAACACACCTCGATAACCCACTAATCTCACTTCCTAGTAAAGCCCTCTGGTTTGTGAGCAGCAGTCGACTCGGACTGGTGAGGAAACACAAAATGTTTCAGAGAGTCAGAAATGTGTGAACACACCGACTGACTGAGAACTGAACAACTAATCATCACTACACTTGTGTTTTGTCATTGTTTGTAGAAGCTGTTCTTCATAAGTACCTGGAGTTGTTGCACTTTGTTCTGAGGTTGTGTTTCCTGCGGCTGTTGTTGTTGCTGTGGTTGTTGTAGATGCTTTAGTTGTGCATTTCGGTGTTGTTGTTGTTGTTGTTGTTGGTGTTGGTGGTGGTGGTGGTGGTGTTCTTGGTATGTCGTCTCCTAAAAGATGATAAAATCCAAAAAACTGAGAAAATTCCTCACATTTACCATCTACAATCAGTAAATAATAAACTGTCCTGTCGTCTTAAAGCTTCAAATGTGTCATTGAACAGTTTCTCTAATTAGATGTTTCCATCCTCCATGTGTCAACACAGAGCAAAGACTAAAGGTTTTACATTCAACTTCCTCACTGCAGCCAGAATTATTGTAGCGTTTCAGTGTTTTCTAGTCAGACATTATGATGTAAATACTCACTGTTGGTAACAGACAGCTCAAACTGAGAGTCAGTAATTGTTTGTCCTGATTCAGACTGTCTGCAGATGTAACGACCATCATCATCCACTGTGACCTTCTTTATAACCAGAGAACATTTCTCTGTAACACTCAGTCTGTCTGATTTATCTGCAGCTTCTCTGTGAATCTGCCCAGATTCAAACAGTGTTATTGTGTACGTGTTTTTTGAACCACTGTAGGTCCAGACAATACTGTAACATTTATCATGAAGATCTTTGACGTCTTCACAAGACAAAGTGGCTTCATCTCCAACTCTGACAGTTTTCCTGGAATAATGTTGAGTTACTGCTGCTGAGAAAATGAGAGAAATACAAACTTAGATAAAGTACAACCTTGATGTTCATACATATTAAAATGTAATGAGACAGTTGAAGACGGAAACATTATGATGTAAATACTCACTGTTAATAACAGACAGATCAACCCAAGATTTAATAATTGTTTGTCCTGATTCAGTCTGTGTGCAGATGTAAAGACCATCATCATCCACTCTGACCTTCTTTATAACCAGAGAACATTTCTCTGTAACACTCAGTCTGTCTGATTTAGCTGCAGCTTCTCTGTGAATCTTCCCGTATTCAAACAGTGTTATTGATGGCAGGTTTGTTAAGTAATTGAAGAACCAGGTAGTACTGAAACATTTATCATGAAGATCTTTGATATCTTCACAAGGCAAAGTGACTTCATCTCCATCTCTGACAGGGATCCTGGTTCTATGTTGAGTCACTGCTGCTGAGAAAATGAGAGAAATATAAAATATAAACTTCATGAAGAAAAAAAAAGAAAACAACAAAAAAAGGCTTAATTTTATGCAAGCAGGAAACTTGTCTGTCTTAGTTAAATAGTTAATTGTTACCTGATAAATTGTCATTAGTAAAATCAATACAGATCTCTGGTTGTTATTTTAAATATATATGTTTTATGTTTCCTTACCTGTAAATGGAATCATCAGGATCAGGAACACTTGAAATGATCTGAATTCAACCATTGTGCTTCCTTCTCTTGTTTTCTGTGTCTTGTTCTCAGGCTCTAAACTCTCAAAGTTTCTGTACAAGTTCCTCTGAAAGACAAATGAAGCATCAACGTCCTGATTAATGTCTCCTCCTCCTGTGTGGTTCTTTATGTAGGTGGAGCGTAGCAGCTTCTTTCTCTGATTCTATTTGTATGTGAAGAGAAAAATAAAAAACATAACTGAACATTTCTATGTTTTATGAGAAAATTGACACTCTAATCAGGCTAAAGACTTTTAGCTAAATAGAGAAGTATGAACAACAGGTTATTTAATTAGAGGTGAATAAGAATAACTATGCGGGTTCAACGTTGTGTTGTAGAGTTGCGTCTCCATTCACTTCCCACTGAAGCAACAATGACTTCATTTCCTCCTTATTCATTATAAGTTATCTTGAGCTCATCATGTCATTCTTCAAATCTCTACAATAGCTTTTTCCTCAATATATATTATACATTTATAGAAATATTCCAGTGAATAACAGTTTGTTGACTCTAATTATTAGAAAGTGTCATGAACGTCTCATATATTCTTTAGATGGTGTTAATTATGAACAAACAGTGAAGCGCTTCATCCACTCTTCACTCTTGATGTCAAACAAATAATATTTTAGTGCTCTGAGACCTGCTGGTTCTTCATCACAGGAACTTTTCTGAGAATTAAATAAGAAGTATTTTGGTGATATCGTGGTACAACAGAAGCAGCTCTGGAGGTGTTACCCACAGATGATGACCAAACATCCAGTGTGGTTAAAACATTGATGTGAATCATCTGAATTGTCTGAGCAGCACACACCTACAGTTTCCTTTTTTCAAATCTAAAGATACATATTGCCTCATGTTTAAAAATAAAATTGATTGAAATTAAAGTTATAGTTAAATGAAAATACACATTTCAGTTTGTGTATTGAAGCTCATTAATAGATGATGTCGTCCAATGTGGAAGAAAGTCTAAAGACTGATCAGTTCAAACACTGATTTTGTTCAACGTCGACACTTCAGCTGTGTTTCGGAGGTTTTTAATGACATTTAATGACACTAAAGAGATCAATTATTGTCATGTGAGAGGAGTTTTATATCTCACTGTGTTGTTCTGAGCTGTTAGACGTTTTCTCATGAGGTTTTGGATCAGTTGTGGTCTGTAAGCCACTGGTTCCTCACTGCAGCTTTGATGTAAGACCTGAGAGGGAAGTGTTTTGGTGAGAATGTGGTACAACAGCAGCAGAGCTCTGGAGGTTTTAGCCTCCAGTAGTGACTAGATGACCATCAGAATGACTCAAGACTCATATGAACAGACTGTCAACAGAAGACATGATGACACAAGACAACAAGACACTGATTAGAATCTTCTTGTTCAACTGCTTGGAGATTTTCATAACATATATTGTAGTATTTGTTTGATGACATAACTCAGGTGACCCACATCACACGGTGTCGTCTTGAGAGGCTGCTGGTGATAGTGGTCAATCAGACAGGAAGGCCTCATCTGGCTTCTGGATAATCTGGTCTTCCTTTGGATCAAACATTTATTATTGTTGAAAACAACATGTAAAACCTCAGCCTCATCAGCAGCTGCAGCATTGTGTGACTTCACTGTTGATCCACAAATATGTTCCTATCATCTGCTGATATAACACTTAGACTCTTATAATGCTGAGCACAACAGTTCATCACTTCACCATAATCAACAAAATGTAGATGTTTAGTTAGAAAAAGTGTAGAATTCTGTAACCCCAGTGAGGATTAAGCGGTATATATGAGGTGTGTCAGAAAAGTTTCAGGACTGGTGTCAAAAAAGATATATCTCAAATTCAAACTACAAGTTTTCCTCTTCTAAGTAATCCCCCTGGAGTCTAACACACTTTCCCAGCCTTCTCTGTCACGCCGCCATGCACTCCTGGAAGGATTCTTCCGGGATCCTCTGCAGCTCCGTCATCATAGTCGTCATGATGTCGTCCACGTCTTCAAAACGGGTCCCCTTGATGACCTCCTTAAGCTTGGGGAAGAGGAACAAATCCCACGGAGCCAGGTGGGTTGAATAGGGAGGTTGCTCCAGCACGGAGATGTTCTTCTCAGCCAGGAACTGTCGGATGCTCAGGGCATTGTGAGCAGGCGCGTTGTCATGGTGAAGCAGCAATGACTTGTCCTGCCTCAACTCTCTGGCACACTGAACGAAGCAAACGCTGCAGGATCTCTTTGTAGACGTGCTGGTTGATCGTCTGAAGGGCAAAAGTCGTAGCTTGTAGTTTGGGTTTGAAATATATCTTTTGTGACACCAGTCCTGGAACTTTTCTGACACACCTCGTAGATAATGGAAGAATGGATGTTAGCTGCTGTTTTAGACGATCTGCCATGTTGGCTGCTGAGCTGTGATATACAAACTGCTGCCTGCAAAGTTTACATCCAACTTTTTGGACATACGTTTTAACATGCAGCAACACTGACAAATCAGTCAAACAAATCATCCAACCAGTCCAACTAGAAACTACAGAATATGCAAAGTTCCTTGTGCTTCTGATAAATCTGAAGCTATCCATTTCATTCTTGAGGAAATACAATTCACTAAGACTGTTTCTGTGCAGCTGGGACAGAAAACACAAGTGGATGGAGCTGCATATGGGCTATAAATATGAACAGGGTGTCATTTGTTTGCATTTTGCATTGTTTAGAAATGCACTGAATGTGATCTGATATGCATCAAGTGAAGAATTGACACAATGTTATATTTGCATCTCTTGTTAAGCTAGGACAGTGTAACCAGCTTTACTAATGGCAAGTTGTACAATAGAAACATCTACATTTTGAAGCTCCATAACTCACATGCACTTGCTTACTTTAATGCTGTGTAATTGATTTAGATTTACTTTCCCACGATAACTAAACTTCATGAACTCCTCCACCTGCTGTGGAAAACTTTAGTGTAAAATCTCAGAGGGAGCTGCAGGCAGTGAGAATCAACATCAGCATCAACAGCAGACACTTGATCCCTGACACTGAGCATTACATGCACTTCTCAAAGCAGCTGGACAGAATGAACAGGACAGCAGCCAGCATGATGCAGCACACTAGTCACCTGACTGCATCTCCTCCCTCTGCTGGTGTAAGAAGGTCATACACTTCAAAGGAAACACTTGCCTCCAGGTTGCTTAATCTTTTCTTTACATGTTGTTTTAAAAAAAAGATTTCATTTGCTGCAATCTCTATTTTTTTTTTTTTTTTGATCACGTGTGAGATGGAGTGTGCAGTTCTTTATCCACTTTTTGGCAAATGTTTCTGCAGAAATAGGGAACCGGAGCTGATCCAACAGGGAAATGACTTGATCCTACCAAGTTTCAGCTGAGCTGCACAGAGCAGCATCTGAAGTGGAGCAGATGAAGCCGAGCACTGAGCCAGGAGAGATGATTCTGAGTTACTGAGCTTTCAGTATGACACAGAGAGAGTTACCATTATGGTGTGACACTACAGCAAATAGCAAATAATACACATTTTCAGTTCAAATGTTGGAGATTTGGGTCTTGGTGTTAACATATTTTTCACGACACAAAAGGAGAGTTCCCTGGATTGCGGCTGTTTTCAGTCATCTTGCAGCAGCAGCAG